CGCCCGTGCACTCTTTGTTTTTACGGGGGCTCGCGCGCGCCCGCAGCTGGCGCGCCACACAGCTCAAGGGCCCTGCGATCCGACACAGCCGCGGGGCGGGGAAATGAGAGAGGGGGCCTCGGGATACAGCCGCGGGGCGGGGCGGGGCGATATACAGCAATGGCCCCGGCCCTGTCCAAGGAAGCGAGAGGAGGAGGAGGAGGAGGAGGAGGAGGCGCAGGAGGACGGAAGGCTGAAATATACAGAACAACCACAGACCTCGGGCCTCGACCCGTACTTCCCCAGCTCCGCCGGCCTCGCGGCCGCCAGGCGCCCCAGCCGCCGCCCGCAGGGGCGCCTCCACCGCCGGCGCGCCAGGCCCCAGGACCGCCGGGCCGTTCACGGCGGCCGCCAGGCGCACGGGAGCACGGCCCCCGCCGACATCACAACATCATCATCAAACATCAACATCATCATCAAACATCAAAACATCATCGACAACGACAACAACAACACCACCACCACCACCACCACCAACAACAACAACAACAACAACAACAACAACAACAACAGCAGCAGCAGCAGCAGCAGCAACAACAACAACAACAACAACAACAACAACAACAACAACGATAACGATAATGTTCAGACTGTTCGACCTTATATGCTCGAGTGTCCAATAACGCGTATTTCCCAAACCCTCGATACCCGCCCTCTTCGTCTTCGATCGAACCCCTTTTGGGGGGTATACCTTTCTTCCCTGCAGGCCGGGCCCCGGCAAGCGGCGGGGCGGCCGCGGACCGTCGGCCTGGCCAGCGGCAGCGCTGATCGGCGGGGCGGCCGCGGACCGTCGACCCGACCCCAAGAGGGACGGACAGGGGACCGACCACGACGACGACGACGAAGACGACGACGACGACGACGACGTCGAAGACGACGGCGACGACGACGACGACGACGACGGCGACGACGAGCGAAAGCGAGAGCGAGAGAGAACGACAGCACGGCCACGAAGGGCAGGAAGTAGGCCACGAAGGGCGACAGCGGGGACACGAAGGGAATGCGTATGGGGCCACGAAGAGCGCGAACGAGCGGGGGCCACGAAGTGCAGATAACGCGGGGCCAGAGAAGGCAACTATGAGGCCACTGAGGGTAGCAACTGGGCCACGTAGGACAGTGAGGGGGACACAAATGGCGACAGCGGGGCCACGAAGGGCATGCACATGGGGCCACAACGGGCGTGTCTCCTGGGTGCCTGGGTGTCGGGAGCGCGGCGCTTGGGCAAATTGCAAGAAATTCCAACGCAAGACCAGTCTTCAGTAAGTTGCAAGCACGTCTCCAGCGAGAGCGCGACTCCAGAGCGCCAGGAGAGCGATTCTTGAATAAATTGTATCGAAGTCCCAAGCGAGAGCGCGATTCCTGAGTAAAATGCGAGGAAGTCTCGGGCGGGAGCGGGGGTCCTGGCTAAATTGTCAGGAAGTCTCAGGCGGGAACCGTTATTGTTGTAACCCGGGGGCCAGGGGCCCAGTTTGAGCAGGAAGATTTTCCCTGTCAAAAAACAGGGTGCGAGCGTCGACGGGCACACTTTGATTGAGAAAAAACAATATGCACCGGTGGGGGGGATCAACAATAATTATTCTTCACAAATGAAAATTCAACAACAACATCATCAGCATTAGCAGCATCAGCATCATCATCATCATCATCATCATCATCATCATCATCATCATCATCATCATCATCATCATCATCATCATCATCATCATCATCATCATCATCATCGTCAGCATCATCACCATCACATCATCACATCATCTCACCAAACATCAGCATCATCATCAAAACATGATCATCACCAAACATCATCATCATCATCATCATCATCATCATCATCATCATCATCATCATCATCATCATCATCATCATCATCATCATCATCATCATCATCATCATCATCATCGACGGGGTCCGAGCCGGTCGGGGTCGGAGGATCACGCCGCCTCGCCGCGGCGTCTCGCCGGCGCATCGGCGATGCTGCATGGGCGGCGTCGGCGATGCCTCGGCGCCGTTGGCGTGGAGAAGGTCGGGGTTTCAAATCGAGCCGCATCGCAGAGCGCATCGGCGGTGCGGCGCGATCCTCCGCCCCCGTGTGCTCGGAGCCCGCGCGGCGGCCTGCCAGCAGACAGAGAGCTGCTCGAGAGTCCGCTCGGGAGGCCTCTGGAGGAACGGAGCCAGCGGCGCCGCCACTGGCGCGCTTCCTGCGCCAGGGAGGGTGGTCCAGCTCCGATCCAAAAATTCTGCGTGGGTATACGAAAGTTTGTGTTTGTGTGTGTGTTTGTTATTCATGTTTGTCATATTAATATTATTATTAGTATGATTAGTACTATCATTATTGTTACTATTATTATCCTTCTTCGGTCACAGGCTTTCAACTGAACGTTTTCTGATTCGGCGTTTCGACATTGGGCGGAAGGGGGGTGGGAGGGGGGGTCTGGCTCCGAATCTCTCTTGAATGCGTCTGTGTGCAACAATGCGTCGAACGGGGGAGACTCCACCTGCTTGAAACAGGCGCCAGAAGCAGCCGAGATCTACTCCACGTGGGGGGGAGGCGGGGGTGCGCGTGCGAGGGCCCGCGCCGATCGGCAAAAC